AAAAACACATTCTGGTTCAGTAAAAAAATAACTCATTCTACACAAAATCACCAATTACGTTAAAAATTTCGTAAATTTCTTTGAAATATAAGCTAAAAAATTATGAAATTTTTAAGTTATTGAGCTAAAATCTTAGTGTTATGCAGAATTTTGCTAAAGTTACTAAATTTAGATCAAAAATTATATAAATTTTACCCTTTTCAAAAGTCTTAATGCTTTTGTTAGTCACAAACGCAATTATTTAGTAAAATTTTGTCGCAAATAAGCCAAAAAATTCTGAAAAATTAACACAAATAGTGTTTTTGCCTTCTTCACCATGTAAACACGTTTGTAGATTAAAAAATATCTCATATATTTTTTTAATTTTTAAATTGGACCTTAAAATTACTAAATTATATCACAAATAACATAATTTTTGTCTTTTATTAAAATTAATCTTAGCAAATTACGACAAAAATTATGTTTTGTAAATGTTAACGCAAGTTTTTACCCTAGAAACGCATTTTTTGAAATACTTTATAAAACACACCGTAAAATTATAAAATCATGTTCACATTTTGCAAAAATGATGTTATTTTTGAGTTTTATAATTGTTTAAACACGTTGTTGAGCTAAAAACGTAATTTTTCGAAAAAAATTGCTCAAAACGACCCATAAAATCTCTGATTTATTAGGCCAAAATATATGTAAATTTTGCTCTGCAAATATTTGGTAAAATTTGATAAAAAATATGCCAAAACAAAAAAAGCCTCTTTTTTTTGGAAAAAGTTTTTCATGTTTTTCTGTTGTGTTCAGTTCTATTATTGATAATTATAAATGATTATGAGGGCGAGGAAAAAATTACGACATTGACCCACTGATTTCACAATTTGTAGATGGACAAAAAAGGTGTAACATGCGTGAGACAAGAATCGAATAATAATTTTTAATCGCGTTATTTGTATGCAAGAGTTGGTGGATTTTTTTTTTAATTTCGTGAAATTTGTAAAATTTCTTGTAGGCTTTCGTGATTATGAATTAAATAAGTCTGTTTAGTATTCTGAATTTCAAGCCAATTAAGCTTGAAAAAAAAATAAAACGTTTAATTTTTCAGTAGTTTGATACAAAGAATATTGATTTGCAGGTTTTGTGTTTTTTACATAGGGAACATAAATAAATAACAAATTACAGTGTAGTCAGACATTTCAATGATGCACCTGGGTATCTACTAGAGGTGTCCCAAAGGAAATCAGTATTCCGACAAAAAGAAAGGAATAAATCGAGCATAATCCGTGGTTAAAAATCATAGTGTTACCTGGAAAACAAATGTTTTTAAGAATATAACTAGAACAATTAGAAACATTTTAACACTTTTTTGTTTATTAATTTATTAACAAGAAAATTTGAAGTTGGCATTTATTGAAGTTAAAGTAAAGAAATAAGAGTTTAATATTTTTTCTTTATTTACTTGCCACATTTTATTTCTTATGCTTTTTTTCACTAATTACACAATCACTGATTGTGAATGCATTCATAACAAAAGTTAGGGTAAATTTGGGAAAGATGAACCTGTGGGAGAGGTAAACTTTAGAGCCTAGAACTCTATAGTTGCTCAATCTCTTACTTTTCAAGTTTTTTTCAAAGTTAATAACAACACTAATTAGTTAAATTAAAAACATAGAAAGAACAAATTTATAATTAGTTGTTTTATTACATTGTAAAGAAAATTCTATTAATTATTTGTTATTCTTATTTTTTAGGTAATAAATTTTCAAAAACAGTGTGTTTTTATTTGTGTTTATAAAATTAAAATAATAATGTTGAGTGGGCAATTAGTTCACTTTACTCTCGACTTTACTAAATGAATTTTTTCGATTTAATTTAGTAATTTTATGGCTCTTAATTTTTTGTACTAAGATGCTACTCTTAGAAAAATTAAATTAAAAAACACTATTTTTGTCAGAATTTCTAAATTTTTTGGATTATTTTTGACAAAATTTTATTGAATAATTGCGTTTATGGTTGAAAAACGCACTAGGATCTTTCAGAAAAGCATAACATATAATTTTCGACTTAATTTGGAAGATTTACGGTCCGTTTTGGTAAAAGTTTTTAGAAAAAAGCTCCACAATAGGTTTGAACACTTAAAAAGCAAACATTTTCGTCCCAATTTAGTAATTTTAGCAAAACTTTTCCTAAAAACTGAGTTTTTGGGTTAAAAACGTTAAAACAACTCAAAAATAACATTATTTGATGGTTTTTTAATTGATTTTTGTTTAAATTCTGCAAAATTTTTAATGTGATGTGATGTGATATGATTTTACAGTCTGTCTTAGGAAAATTAAAAAAAAATAGGTTTTTAGCTTAAAAATGTCTTAACCACTTAGCCCCAAAGTTATTTTTGAGAAAATTTTACTAGACAGATACGTTTTTGACTAAAAAACACACTTAAATTTCCAAATTTTTGATGTAATTTAGTAATTTTTACGGTTTGTCATTTTAACAAAAAATTTTGAAAAAGTGAAATTTTGGTTTAAAAAACGTGCTTTAAC